CTTCAGAACCACAGCAGACCCATGTCCCCTTGTGTGTTGTGCCTCTGCCCACTGGGGGTGGTGGAGTCCTAGGGCCTCTTTGGCTAGCTGGCCAATGGATCCCTCTGGGCAACTCACCCTTTCTGCCCTATTGCCTACAGGGGCTGTCCTCTCGGTGGGTGTTGGAGAGGGGCAAGTGCAAAGCAGGGGGGGTCTTGAGCAGGCTGAGGTCTAGAAGAGGGGAACCGTGTGAGGCTGAGGAAGCAGGCGTGTCCCAACTGGCTGGGGAAAAGGACAAGGCCAGGACCTCTTTCGTCTTGTCTGACACAGCCAGGCAAGACTGGGAGGTGCCGGCCCTGCTCCCTCCCCTCCATGCACCAGGTGAAGCAATAACATGTGCAATCCCCCTTTGCCACTCTCCCCCCCCCCCGACCATCGTGATGCTGAGCTTTGGAACCAAAGCCAAGTACTGTATCCTCTTTTACAATGTTGCCATTCCACCCACGACCCCACTTTACATTGGCTTCTGGGCCATCTCTCTCCCAGCATCACCACCTAGGCAGGGGGCGGTGGGGTGGGGGGGTGATGTGAGAGTGGACGGATCCTTCCAGGAACCCATTCGCAAGCCGAGCTCTTTCGAGTGGATTGTAGGCACCCAACTGGGAAGAGAAGGTGGTGTGTTTCTGCTGCTACTGCTGCGGCCAGTGATGCTCGACCTCATCTCGCCCCAGAGCTGCCGTGCCAAAGCTTAGGAGCCGTGGCATGCCGTGTTGCGCTCTTGGAAGGACAGCTGTGTGGAGGAGACCCTCGGCAAAATGGCAGCTCTGTGACAAGCCATCTGCCAACCCCCCACCCCACACGACCAGTTTCCACTTGAAAGCCAATGTAAGGGAATCTCCTTTCCAACCCGAGGAGAACATGGCCATTTCTGAACACAGTACTGTAGCCATTTTCTTTGTACTTTGTTTCACGTTTCTTTCTCTTAAGCCTCAAATGAAGTAAAACAAAAAGGAAAAAAAAAGTAAGAAAGAGAGAACCTCTTTCAGATTTCTGTATAGCTTTTATTTTTGTATGCCGTTCTGTTCCACGAGTTTGCTGGGTTGGGTTTGGACTGTACATAATTGTGAATAAGAAGATTGTAAATTATTCTAAAAGAGTAAAAGAATCTTGCAAATAATATCCCCTTGTCCCTCCCACCCTTTCCCTTCACCCACCCACCGCCAAAACTCTTTGCTGGGGGTAAGGGGCCGGGTTTCCTTTGTGTGAGAGCCTCCGTGGAGAGCAACGAGGTCTCTGGGAGATTCTCTAGCTGCATTTCTCTCCTCGAGAGAGCTCTGGGACGCAGGCCCTCCCCTCTCCTCCCCAGTTTCTCCTGTCTGTGTATTTATGGTGTAATATAGACACACTGGAAATTGTTAGAGTTGTCATTTTTTCCTTGCGGTGTCGTTAAATCAGCTGTTGCAATGTTCTCTCTCTTTCGAATGTTACCAAAACCGTTCAGCAGCCGAGCTCACAATAAACCAGGAGGAAGGGATTCTCTGTGGCTGTGACATTGACCTGGCTTCTTTGCAAGGCTGTGTGGGTGGGTGGGGAGAAGTAGAGTGAAACGTGCTCTCAAATTTCATTTTCTTGGTGCCATGAACAGGAGCACCAAAAAAAAAAAAAGTCAAAGAGCAGTAGCACAGAGGAGCCAGGACTCTGGGAGTCAAAACACCATGACTTTTAGTTTGGTGAGGTATACAAGACAAAAACCCTTCCTAATATATCCTTGTTCTCTCTCAGGTTAGCAGCAATCCTCATAGTAGCTGGACTGGGACACAGGATCCCGCCCCCCCCAACAGCAACAATTAGTGTTGCACGCTATCCTGGTTGTAACACAGAGTGTTTGAGGGAAAGATTAATCTTGAAAAAGCAATTAAGACTCTTTAACTTTATACAAGTCCTGCTCTTGGCACGGATTTAAACTTCTAGATCTGGTATAATTGCATTTTTGGATTCTTCTTAGAAGCACTGCTTTAAAAAAAAGAAATCAATCACTAGAGATGGGTACAAACTGCTGGTTCGGCAGGGCTGTGCAGTTTGTTTCCCTGCTGAACAGCTGATCTGCGGACTGGCGTCCTTCCCCCTCCAGTGGGCACCCACTCAGCGGCAGCACCCTGCCCACCTCCTCCAGGCACTGCCACTGAGCAGGTGCCCACTGGAGGGGTTGGGGTGCCAAGACGTGGATCAGGTGTTTGGCCAGGAAACAAACTGCACTGCACTGCCAAACCTGCAGTTCACACCCACCTCTACAGCACGCTGTCTTTTAATTTAACCCACAGAATGCCCATTCTTCCCTCCTACCAGACAAGAGCTTGTACAGCCCTCCCCCTGCCTCCACAGCCAGCGTAGGAGTGGGCAATATTCAGGAATGTTGCCTTTTAGTCTACACCTTGATCCACAATTTCTGTTTTTCTTTTGATTAGAAAAATGGCCCTCTTGGTTTGTCTGTGTAGTCACAGCAGTTCTCTCTCAGGGTACCTCAGTTACAAACTGTAACTACTTTTAAAAGTTTCTGTCCCCAGCCTGTGTCTTTACTGTTGGAAACGAGAGAGAGAGAGAGAGAATTTAAAAGCACAAAAATATTGATATAAATAAAAAGCACTACTGTAATCAGAACAACTAACAGAGAGCAGAGAGCATGACCAATTCACAAAAATATCAACCATAAGCAATCCTCCAAACAAAGGTTTAGCACAGTGGTCAATAAAATGTAGGTAGGAAGCCTTAGGGCTCCCACCCTCATTTTTTTTTTAAAAAAAAAAGCTTAAAATATTACCCAATGTTGCCATGTTTTGGGGAGAGTGACTTCTGACCTCCCCAAACCAAAATTGTTTAGTATTGAAATAATGTATTTATTTAGGTAACAGAAGTCCTAAAAGAGCTTTTATATAATTTGGGGGGGGGCGGGTTTGCTGCAATCCCTCAAGGTGGAGGAATGGGCATAATGCAGCCCTCTGGAAAATTGCCCATTGCTAGTCTAATGCTTGGAGACTTTCCTTTTCTGAGGGCACTCTGTATCTCAAGAATCATTCAGAAGCAAAAAAAAAAAAAAACTTTTCCAAGTTTGGTGAAGAGAGAGAAAGAAGCAGTCTCATCCTTTCTTAGGAATCCAGAGGGAAAAGGCTTAAAGGCTCAACAACTTCACTCATGCCTGGATGCTAAAGAAGTGCAATCGTGTCCAACTCTAGGGGGCGGTGCTTATCCCTGTTTCCAAGCCGTAGAGCCAGCATTTGTTCGAAGACAATCTTCCATGGTCACGTGGCCAGCGCCACTTAGACACTGTTTACCTTCCCACCAAGGTGGTCCCTATTTATCTCCTCACATTTTTACAAGCTTTCGAACTGCTAGGTTGGCGAGGAGCTGGGACAAGCAACGGGAGCTCACTCCGTCGCGTGGATTCGATCTTACGACTAATGGTCTTCTGACCTTGCAGCACAGAGGCCTCTGCAGTTTAACCCCCACCATGTCCCTTGTGGGAAAGTTTCTAAAATAAAGGGTCACCCATCTGCCTTCATATGGTGAGGAGCACTCATTCTGTGTCTGCCTTGAAGGCTCTTATCGAAGGCAGCCCCACATTAAAGTTCATGGCGGTTAGCATGAAAAGGCATGAACCACCCAAACAGGGCACCGCTGTGCACAATGGACACCTGTTTGGTCTGAGAGCACCAACCGACTGTACTGGACTCCACCCTTACATCACCCCCACCTCCTTGTCTGTGTTCAGTGGAAGACTACGAGAAGTCTTTTTTTTTTTTTTTGCCATGCCCTGGGGGGAGGCAGGTCGGGCAGCTCCCTGCTAGACTGAGGGCTTGCTTTTAGTGCCGCCAAAGCATGGTGCTTCAAGTCTATCTTTCCCTCTGCAACAGAGTTTTCTACAGGTAGGCAGGGAGGGAGAGACAGAAAGAAGCACAAGAGAGTTAGACAGTGAAGACGTTGTAATCTAGACTGCCCTTGAAATTCTGTGAAGGAGGTGGGGCAATTGCACAATAAATGCTCCATGTGGAAGCCCCACATCCAAACAGGAACAGCTGGTGGTGGTTAGTGAAACACACGATACCAGTGCCAGAAGCACAGGGATAAGACCAGCACCAAAGCCACACTTTCCCACACTTACCCACTCCCACCCATCAGCCGGATGCAAGCACCAAACAGCAATGGCCATGAAACTGGACTGTAGCAACCAGTCGGGGGACTCCCTGGAGCTTGGGGCTAGCCTCTTTTGAAGGTAGAGGCTCCA